CGGATAAAGCGGATGAAGATGGATGGATACTTCAGAGGTCTTAAAAGCTGGAAAACAATCGTTCAAGACCACTTAACAAATTGCAAGAATGTCTGACACCTTGAAAACAAATTATATAAAGAAATGAAAGGCCACTCGAGACTTTTGAACAGTATTACCATCAAAAGTGTTGATTTGAAGGCCAGTTCACCTCGAAGTGAACCAAGTGTGCAAAATGATGAACATTTGAGGTCAGAGATTTACAAAACTGTGATTTAAAATGAGCTTTACATTTTTGTAATTGCTTATATAGTTCCATTTTAATGTATACACAATTGGAAAGAACTGTAAAAAATTTGTTTTTGCTAATCGAGTTTAAAAAAAAGATAACAAAACACATTATCGAAGTGATAGTGTACAGATAGTGTACAAATATGCAATACAAACATAACAAACTAAACCTCTTGATGCATTCTCAATCATCCAGGAAAGTAAATCTCCAAAACGCTACGTCCAGATGAACAGAATCAACTTTTGGAGATAACAAACTAAAATACATTACAACATACAAACCCAGTTTGAGTGATCACACACTGGGTTTATAAAGATTAAATGCAAAATTTGCCAATCATTATCTTGTTGGAAGTGATAGGCTTGTAGTAACAGGTATTCACTTTAACAAGAAGAAAAAAAGAAAGAAAAAGAAGAACGAAATGCCATACTAAAAAAACATTGCATTACAAGGACTTATTGGACATTGAGCTTTAAAAACTGGTTCCAGCTTTTGAAAAGAAAAGAAAAGAAAAGAAAAGAAAGGAAAAGAAAAGAAAGTAAACCCTTACAGTACATATATTGCAGTATTATCTGTTTACTCAGAGATTATACTTTCTGTTTCTATGGAGATTTAGCTTGTTGTCTCAGGATAAAATGGACTTTCCAGGATGCCTTTGTTTTTCTCTGATTTTCGAAGACCTTTCTTCAGAGAGTCACAAATCTTCTGCCATGAGTCGATCTCTGAGCTCCAAAGTGCAGCTCTGGCTCGGATGACCTGGGAAACTTTTGCCTCACAGCCTTTTGCCAGACTGGTGCCGTCTCTGTAGATGAAGAAAATATCCATGCCAAGGAAGAGAGCATTGAGAGCGATGAACCCACCCCTTGATGTCTTTGAGAGAGCAAGAGATCCTTTGAGAGCTGCCTCACCAATATCTGGGATATCTGAGGCCAGCCTGCTTGCATTACGTAATGCTTTTCCTTCCTGAGCCAAAACTTTACCAGCACTCGGAAACACTTTGGCAGCAGAGGTAGCATCAGTAACTAAGTCAAAAGTGCCCTTTCCAACAGTCCAAACTTTAGATGCAATCCTGCTTACTCCCACAGCCATCTCTACCTTACTTGTTTCTATTCCACACACTCGTTGATCGGTCACTTTTTGCAGACAATCTTGAAGACTCTGTACATCTTCCATGAAGTTCTTGAAAACTTCACCAGCTTTTGTTTGATGCTTATGATTAACTTTCATCTCTGCTCCAGTGGTCACAGCACTGTTAAGACCACTGGTGATTCCCAGCCCAACACCAGTCATTGTCAATGCTAGTGATGCTCCTGCTGTTACAGGAATTAACGCCAAGCCAACAATGGACAGCACACCACCAATCACCCCTGCTGAACTGCCTGCCACACTGGAGATCTTTGAACCCTTACTCATCTTGTCTAGCTGAACAGCACACTGCTCCAGCTCATCTAGGAACTTCAACATCCTGGGCTGGTGTTCTTCAAACTTACTGATGAAATCCTCACCAGCCTTTTCCATGAACATGAACACCATTCGGAAGTCTGGGTTCATCCTGAAAATGCCAAAATTAAAGTTAGACTAAAAACCTTATTTTAGTAAAGGATGGAAACAATGAGATGTGAAAAGAAGGCAGTACTGGCTCACATCCCAAGCGAGTGCACCAAGGATGGAGCGAGCAACTAAAACGCCCGAAGAATCACCCCTTCACTGAGCGTGTGCAGTTGACATCTGATGGTGACTGTTAGTCAACAACCATCCATTTGTAGTCTTTTTTGAAAAATGAATGTTATATTTGTTTGTGGAACATTTTGTTTATTGGAAAATTAACATTGACAGCTACTTCTTATGCTTTCCAGCATGGTAAACTTTGTATATAAGAATTGTTTTTTTATTAACATTTTACTAATTAGAACAAAAAATTAACAAGTCCATGTGCTACTCAGAAAACTGACCAACACACACAAAAAAAAGGCTGCCCCACAAACTCCTAAATTTAAAATAAGTCTATAAGAAGACCATTTTTTGCTGACCCATTTATTCACAATAGTTCCTTTAAATCTCTCACATGACCATATATAGCATCATAAATGCCTCACTTTAGAGATATGGAATTTCAGATATTATTCTGACAGATAAAGATTTGTGAGTGATGCTGTACACTGATAGACTTACCTGATTTCTTCAAGCAGATAAATATGATGAAGCATACTTTGTATGCCAGCCTCAGACGAATCCACATTCAAGTCTACCACGGCCTTTGTGCTCTTCAGCCAGATATCATTTATGGCACTGTGGAAGAAACAGTTACACTTCTTATGTGTTCTTGCTTCAAAACAAAATGTGCTCTTTATTAGATGTTACCTTTCCTCCAGCTTCTCATGGATTTTCTGGGAGGTCACTATGTATCTGTCCAGCTGATATGCCAGCACATCCACATTCTCAAGTTTGGGGAGAAAGAAGACTTTTGAATCTCTTTTAAACTCCAGCAACAGAGGGCAGATTTGTTGTGCAGCACTGATGACAGACTGAATATGTTCAAGTCTGATCCCTTCAGGCAGGTGTAACTCCTGGTTCTCTCCAAATACCTGCAGTGAGGTGACTGCCAGCTTCTCCACTGCATCCAAGAAAGGCTGGAGTTTCTCCTGGCCTCTCAAAACGTACTCCAACACTTCAGTCAGCTCCTTCTCCAGCTTTTCACGCCTGCTATCTGCACTTACTTTGTTCTTCATGAATTTCAAAAAGGCCGTGCATTTTTCCTCTGAATTGTAAACATGTGTGATTTTCAGGTCTAGTGCGTCAATGCCATCTTTGATATCCATCAAGGTGTCTAACTCAGTCTCCGTCCACAGCAGCCATTTAGAGAACCCCTCACAGAATCCTGTCACCGTGTGGATGTAGGTGAGGGTGTCTGTGATGTAGCGGCATAAGGCCGTCTGTAGCTCCTTTCTATAAGACAAAACAATATTGTCTGCATGTTGACTGATCAAGGCTGATCTAGCAAAACAGAGAAAAAATGTCTTTCCTCATTCAATGATTATGCTGATTTTTTAAAACTTATTATTGTTCATTCTTATTCTTATTTGCACAATTAACTGTGCAGCTTATACTTATGTTTTTGCAGTATATAATATGGCCAGCTGTAGCATAGATAGTTTTCACTTTACCTTTTCCCAGACATCCTTTGCCTTCACGTGGTACACTGTCTTCTTCTGGTTTATTTTGTTTGCCAGGAAAAAAAAGGGTAGGATTTGAAAATGTTTTAATTAAAGCAGAGATATTAGTTAGTATGGTTGCGGAGCTTTGTTTTAAAACCTTCATTCAGGTAAGTTTGGCTGGTTTTGCTTTCACTCCTGATATATAAATACTACAGAGAAACCACACCCTCTTCTGTCGTTAAGTCTTAAAGGTCTGGTTATACTTTCTACAAATCAATCAAATCAAGAAATCAATATTTTATTTATATTAAAAATGAGTCACTAACATAGCCACAGAGAATACCTGAACTCGACAGTTTTTAGCTCCCTAAACTGATTCTTTAAACTCCTGTCTCTAATCTCATCTATTCTCATCATAGGGTGACAGCAATACTGTTATTACCTTTTAGTGAGTGATTTTGTTTTTTTGGCTATGTAATCAACATCTTTCTTCATTTTAAATCATTTTACAAGAGAAATTACAGACTCGATAAAGAAAGGTCCTAAATGTGGGCTTGGCTTTTTATTAGGTGTTTTATAATTAAGTTTTTGGTTTTAAGTTACTGTGCAGCATAACTGTGACAAGTGTGTCGAAAACAGGGACGAGTACCTGCTTGGCCCTGTGCATTTGCGATACAAAACTTATTGTTCCCTGCAGTGATACAGTGTAGGATACCAAGACACCAAAAGCATCAGAGTGCTTTGATTTAGACTATTTTTTGAACTTCATATTTATTCTTTTGAAGAATAACAAGGTAAGTTATCAAGCTTATAATAAGTGTGTTTATATTTGTTTCTCAGAGCAGCTCACATTGTTAAACATTCCTTAAAGTTAGCTTGCTCATGCTAACAGATTAGCTAACAGTCGCTACACACACTGTTATTAAAAATAAAATTGTATTTTTTTTTTCTGTTTCAGTCTGCTGACAACATTTTTGTTTGGTGTATCTTAATGGTCTTAAGAACCTACAGTCCATCTGGAAATTAGTGCTTCACCTTACAGCTTTATTCCAAAATTAATTTTGTTAATTATACAAATCAAGATTCACATAATACACCATAACTGCGGAGTGAAAAAAGTTGTCTTGCCAATTTATCTGAAATTAAAAAACCAAAACAAAATATAACATGTAGCATAATATATATTAAGAAGGCAAAAGAGTGTTGTGGTGGCGAGTGCTGTTGGCTCATGTTGGGTTCATTTTATGAGCGATAGAAGAAAAATATGCTCAAAGTGCTTTTTCGTAAACTTGTTAAGCAATTGAAGGGGAACAAATGGCTGCCATGAATCTCTGCTTCACTTAAGAGACCCAAACGTACAAAGAGCACCGCACCCACACAGTAATGATTTTTATTATGCATAATACTAAGATGATTGTTCAAAAGCTGGTGGAAACCCGCAGCTCTCCTTAAATGGCTGAAGCACTTTGCCTCACGTTGCTTCTTCTGCAGCTTTCTGGGCATCTTCTTATATGGAGACGCCACGTCACCCATCACTATGGCAAACACTTCTTGTCCTACGTCAGGCATTGCAGTGCATTCCATAACGCTTAGCATTTAGGCCAGTTCAGTCTTTGTTTTTTCACACCAGAGAATTTCACTTCTCACTCCTCTTATATGAATCAGCTTGGAAAAACTACAGCACATGTGAAAGAGGAACACTGAACGCTGTTTGTATTGGATAACTGGTTCTACAACCTGAGCTATGGCAGGCTGTGACAAAATAAGCTCCTTGTATGATAGTGTTTGGTTCTCTAACAGCTCAAAACATGCACATGAATTTTCATGCACAGTAACACTTTTTTGAATATAACATGTTGAATTAGGTCACGCGATCTTTAAGTGTTTTATTCTGCATTTAAATAATAATATGTAGAATGAGTTCTTACAGGTCTGTTGGATTTATGAAGGCCCTCCTCATTTTCTTCAGCTCTATAAGCATGTAACAATGATATCAAGTGCACCTTAGTTTTGTGTTTGGTATCAAGCGGGTGTGTTATGCTGCACGAAAATTAATTTGAAGACGTAGACAAACAACTTGGATGTAAAAGTTGGCTATTCTCATTACAAATATTCTATTCATTCATCAGGCTTCAAACTTTGGTGGCCAAGTATCTGTTTTCATAGTGCTGTCTATGTTTCGTTCACCAAAAGTGCACACTTCATTCTCCTCACTCGGACATGTGACTTATATTTATTAACATAAGTTGATTGATGTGAAGTCTCATCCAAATTCCATTATAACTTAGAAATGTTCATAAAACAATAGGTAATGATACTCAGTATGTGTCATTAACATACAGCTTTACATTTTAAAACCCTGAAAATATATCAGTCAATATTTTTCTTTTGTTGAGAAAAAATGAGTTAGGAGCAGAGACTTTCTTCTGAGAAAATATGTAGGGCACATACCATATTTAGCTCTTAGGAAGTTTTTCTTGTTTGATCACATAACTGTGAAAAAACAAGGCATGACTAGAAAAGTAGTGCTTTACACAGACAATTGTGTTACTGACAATGACTACTTAGAATAAGTCAACTAAACCTTCTCTTTCTCCAGGCTGCTTGAGCATCTATACAGCTCTGACCTTTCCCTTCTTGTCTTTCAGTCCTAGAGTCATTATAACGTGCAGTGGACATGAAGCCAGCCGCGGAGGTGTCCAGGTGGATAGCGAATGAGCAACAGCTTCTGACTTTCCAAAAAGTACTCATTTATTTACAATATCAAAAATAAAAGTCCTACCTCTACCACACATTACTAAAGAGCACACTAGTCCGCGTATACACGGGAGCATCCATTACAGGAGGAGTGCGAAGAAGAACAAAAAGGGGGTGACACACCAGTCATGAGACAGGAGGCGCCGCCATGTGGTGATAGACTGCATTACAATAGCAACTGTTACAGCATGAGAACCTGGGAGAGATGTGATCTCAAGAGCTGTGGAGAGGGGTGAGGAGTGTATGCAACCCTATGAACTCCAGCCATGGCATCTTCTGCAAGTTGTTAGAATATCCATTCACATGCCCGTCCACCTCATAGATAGAAGTGTTGATCTGCTGAGCCCGTACGGTGCCTTCTGATGGAAAATTTATGGGATTTTATATGTAACCAGCGGATCAGTCTGTACTGAATAAAACAAAATAATGGGATGCTACAGAGATTTGTCACTGACCTGACTTTGTGAAAGACGCAAGTAAGACATTGGTGTTTGTTTGTTTTTAAACTCTGAAGGGAGTCTATGTATACTGGCCACAAAGTTGTAGCTCTTATATCTGCACAGAAAGTCACTGTTCTGCTCCATCTTAGTTCTGAATCTCACAGATAGATAAGGGGAAGAGTTTATGTAGTTCTTCACCCCATGTGACAATATTCTATAGGTTCCTTAAGAGGTACTATAGCTAATGTTGAAGTGAAGTGTTAATTTATGCTTTACTTTTTTACTAAAAGCTTTTTTACTTTTACTAAAAAATTTGTACATTTGACTTATGCTGTGTCCCGATTACTACATAACAATGATGTTCCTGGAAGATTGGTGTGAAAAACGAAGGCTATTCAGATTTAAAACCACAAATGGAGTGATATTAAAAAACTCTCAAAACCTGACAAACTTGTGCTTGCAACATGCAATTTTATTCTATATGAACATGAATAATGTGGAGTTCGGTCCATCTTTGGATCAGCTTACTTGTGTGAGAAGAGTTTCTCACAGATAAACTACCTAAATTCAAAATGTCACTCTTGCCTCCCAGATGAGAGCATTCACTCTTGTGTGGCAATCAAAGTTTAACTTTGCAGCCATAACGCTGAAAATGAAAATGTCTAGTAATGTTCAGAAATGTAAGTCAGATTAAAGAAATTAGATTTGTTTTGTTTTTTTATTATTATTTTTTAATAGTCTATTATCTTGCATAAATCATGTGTTAAGAACCTGTATTGTACATATTAATTACATGATATTCAGTGGATGCTGTTTGCAGGTCTGAGGTTTGATTCTGTATCAGATCAAATAAAGGAAGAATGTCGCGTCTTTAACCAAAATTACACTGCAATTGCACAATTTCTTCTTGTAATGTTTTGTTTCTTACCAAAAAAGAATCCTTTCCTTTGGATTCTTCTACACAAATAAATGAGATACTTCTGTCTTAAATGTTGACTCATGGGAGGAGAAATCACTTGTGGGTAAACCAAAAGTCAGACTGTCTTCATGGCAAAAGTACATTTATGTAAAGAAATTTCTTATATTTGAAGGTCAAGGCTACATTCAAAAGCAGTGTGATTCAAAAACACAATTAATAGTTAGTGACTATTCAGAAATTATGAGAATCCAAAGTGCACTGTACTGGTTTCAGGCATGTCAGATATGTTGACTGATAAACATTTTATTAATGAACATTGTTGATTTCTGGAATCATGATCTACATGACATGAATTCATCTTGGGTGAGCAAACATTAATCTTTTGTTGTTGTTGTTTTTTTATTATTATTTAAATAGCAGAAAAACACATTTTTATGGTTTTCTGATTAATGAAATTGTTGAGAGATTTGTTTATGTTATCCTAGTAAGGATACCGTGGGGGGCGGCCACTAGAGGTCGCTGGAACACTATATGTGTATATGTTTTTCAGAATATTAATGTAGCCACGTACACTGCTGCTACGGTTCAATAAAAGCAGTTTGTGCTGAAGAAACCCTGCGTCTAATTACCTCATATCATGAAAGAAATCAATGCTTTTAAAACTCCTGGGAGACCCTGAAGAGCTGCTCTGCTTATTCCCAGATGAACCTCAAAGGCAAATCACCAAGTTTCTCCTGAAGGACTTGATCCACTCTTTCACTCTGTGCAACAGTCATTGTGTTCTTCCAGTCTCCAATCTGACCTGTAATAAAGACAAAAACACAACACCTGAAACCCTGATATCATTTTTCTGCACAGCAGCTGCAGGTCTGTTATGTTACCTTTGCGCAGGAATTTTCCACTGAACTTCTCTGGTGGAATGTGCTCATAGTTTGCTTTCGAGTCCTTCTTCATGTTCTCAAACTTAGCTTTTTCCACAACTTGACTGATGGCGGCTTCAGTCAGATTTATCCCTAAGAAGTTGCAGATCTTCTTCACTGATCCTTTCAGGTCCTGAAAGAAAAGCAGGAACACAACAGAAAAAGAACCTTAAACTCTGCCAGATATTTTATTTGAGTTTCCTTAGGAACAGCAAAAAATGTGAAGAAACATCTTACCAAAATCATTTCCTCGTAGGTCAGGAAGAGGATGTTGTACTGGTCTCTGTTTAAATACCACTCCCTGACGTGGTCAAACCAGGATGACGCTGCAACTGTATAGTGGCATAATGCATCCAGTTATTTGGCATTCTGACTTAATTGAGTTCACATACAACCCTCATGTCACAAGAAGAGCTCAAGTGTAAGCTCTGTAGTTACCTACAGCATGACTGTAGGCATGATCAGTCCCCCATGCTAATCATGCAGTGGTAGTGTGCCTCCGAATGTAGTACAGATTTTGTCAATGTGCTCAATCCACACATGACACACACACACACACACACACAAAGCTGGTGTCGGTGCTAAATACTAGCACAGCACCAAAAAATCACTGGGTACTAAAGTGGAACCACTGTTGCCACACACTGAAACCTTCAGGTCACAGAAACCAAAGTCTTTCAAGTATGTAGAGCTGCAAGAGCTGTGAGATGAATCACATGACAGAAAAGACTAAATGTTTAGCAACAGATTTTTTTTTATACATTTTAAACTGTACCTTTTAAAACATGGATTACTGCATGCGCATAGAGTGCACATGACCTTCCTGCTGGTGCATGCCAAGAAAAACGTGTTTTGACACATTTGTCACATTAACTCAGTAAATATTAACTCAGAATAAACACCCTCTCTCATAGTCCACTGAATCTGAATTGTCCAGTATTTGGAATTTAAACTTTAATGAATCAGTAATTTTTCTCCAAAAAATTCTAGAACAAAGGTAACACTTTACATAGTACATTTTTCAAAGCACAGTAGCGGGAGGAGTGGTAGCCATTTGTTCATCTCTAGCTTATCAAGTGTTACTCTGAGCCTTGCACACTCTAATAAAAAGTTTTATTTGTTTCTTTCTGCAGTCTGTGGTGCAAGGCCCATGATAATCTATCAATAATTCTACCTCGACAATTCTTAAACATTTATGTGAATAAAGATATAGATAATAAATAGATATAGTGTGTTTATAATAATCACTAACTGATTCATCATTATGTGGATCGAAAGTGAGGAAACTTACCGTTTCCTGTTATGTACCACTCAAAAAACTGGTCAAAGCTCTCGGGAGTTTCCAGGGCTGCCAGGGCTTTGCTGAAGTGATAAAAAGACACCACGTTGTCCTTTGGATTCCTCATCAAATACACGATCTGATATATATTAAAAAAAAAAGAAATCTGAATATTAACAGTTTGTTACTTAAATGTAAAAATTGAAAGTCATTAGTTTAAAAGAAAAATAATTTAAAAAATTGATTTCAAATAATATTTTTTAAATATATTTTAAAGGCTGTATTTTTTTATAGCTCTTTTTCTCCTATTTCTACTTGATTTGATGAACCTCTTAGTCTGCAATGACCTAATCGTAAGAAAGGAAAAGGACAAAAAAAAATATACTGAAATAGAAACACAGAATCACTTGAAATAAAACAAATGCTAGTGCTAGCTTTTTGGACCTGGAACCATGTGTTTGTGCAGAAGTCTATGATAAAAATGACCCTCAGATTCCTTGATTTATGACCCCATTACA